ACTTGTCAGAAACAGTGGTTGCTCCAGAGCAACTCCCGGTATCCATCTCTGATATCTACCTACTGTAATTGTTCATGTTTTGGGTGGTCGGGGAAATCGGAGCACCCAGAAGAAACCCACCTTAACATAGGGATAACAATTCCACTCAGTAAGGTCTGAACCGGGACAGGATTTGTGACCTTCTTGCTATGAGTGAACATTACCCACTCAGACACTGCATTAAAAACATTCAAAATGACTAAGTGACGCAGTGCGGATCATTGTTGTAACATAAACCGATCTGAACACTTTGAATGCCCTCAAGCCATAAGTACATTATGACCTGCCGAGGATTTTATCTCAATTAGATTGCATTTTCTGTATTGCCAATGTCTCTCCATGGTCTGCTTCATCTGCCTTTCCATTCAATTTTTCAGAAAGTCTCCAAATTACTATCCAGCAACCACAAAGACTAGAATCAGGATCTTAGTCAGGAGCAGGAGGATTAACCCTTTTTGACCAGAATGGTTTCATTTTGTAAAAAAAGAAAAGGAAAAATATTACGTAGAAACATTTCACTTTCCATAAAAAGGCTTGAAAAGTAGCACTACATGCAGTACGCTGCAAGTGCCCATGGCAGCTTTTTCTTCAGAATTGGAAGAATATATCAGGAAAGATGTTTTACACATTTTTTTCATAAATACAGTTCATGCACATCTCTCCAAAAATATATTTAAATGTAATACATCCTTATCCTTGTTAATATTAGGGTCCACCATGAATCAGCAGAACGGGACATGGTATTTAATTAGTGAGGCAATGGCAGGACTCTCCCCCTGCTCCGTGAGCCAGCCTCATTAGGTGTATTGTCGTGATGCTGATGTAATGCAAGTTAATCTGTTGGCCTCTGGTTGGCTCGACGGCCCAGCAGGAGTGCATTGTGTGGCACATTAGCCCAGCCCCACCCCCTGGGGACAGGTTCATTCACACTGACGCTGATACCCAAGTGCTATAGTCCTTTGTCAGTGTGTCTGTGTCTATGTGGCTGACTGAATGATTGTGTTTCACTCAGTTATGAGAAAATACTTTAGTGAGTGGCATCCATGAAGGCCACTGATTCCTCGGCATGTGCTGCAGATCACGTACACCACACATCTTGATTGACAGGTGAGTGTGCTGAGAATCCCATCCATCCCTCTAAGAGTGTTATAGATTCTAGATTGTAGCAAATCAAGTTGCCATTTATGAAGCAATATCAATGGAATGCCAGTTTTGCACAACTCTAAATGTAGAGCAGACGACATTCCCAGATATTTTTTACAACACTTGGAGCAATAAAATATTGCAAAATGGAAGCATGTATCTAAGACTCAACACTAATGGGATCATTCATCCATTGAGTTGCAACTTGGTGCCTCAAAACTAATGTATTGAATTAATTGCACTGTCTTACTAAGATACATCAGATTCTAATAAATTCTAAATTTTTTGAGTTTCAAACCCAACCTAGGGCATTTAAAGGTCAGATGGCAAAACCATAGCATTACACACTGTCTCTACTGTCCAACTTCTTGTTTGGAGTTGGCCAATTATTAACCAGAGCAGAATTTTGAATGTACTGCATCTGTTTCATAGCTCGTTGGGCAATTATTGTTTTCATAAACTTACACAACAAAACAAATATTTTTTACAAACACAGATACTTTGGGCCAAAGGGCTACACTTGTTCATACTTTGTTAATTGGATGGATGAAGCAAGCGCTTATTTTACTGTATTCCAATTCCCGTGCACCTCTCAATGTTTGCAGATGAAGGTTGCTCATCATTTAGATCTGATGTGGCTGTTAAAGTTATAATCATAATCCATTATTACTATGGATGTCTTAAATTATAGTTCCTGGATTATTACAGCTATAATTCTAGGGGGCATTACCCGTCTCCCTTGCTTTAACATAGATAATGGCTGAAATTCCTCAGGAAGTCCAGCTCTGTACTGGGCTGTCAGTGCAGCAGGTGGGACAGGAGGGTCTTGGACAAACTAACATCTACCTGTATGTGGACCGTAACTGTCACCCCCTGCAGGACACTCTGTCTGCTCTGAGAGCAGTTTCAGTGACAGACTGATCCCGTGCTGTGTGAAGGAATGGCAATTTTAACCCTCAAAGCTACAGTATAATACAGTACCAAAATCAGAATTGTCTTTACTGCAACAAAATATGTTTCAGGAAAGACAATTTCGATTTGGTCGGTGGTTTGATATATTATTCATGCTCATTAATTGGCCTAATGGCAACTTGTAAATGGTGAACAGAAAAGATCTGAGGATTGACCTCTGGGGCACGCCACAAGGCCATATTGTCAGAGGCAGATTTTATTTTTAGTTTAACAGTGTATTTTGTAACTGTTGTATTCATAAGTGTGGAAAACAATGTGTATATTCTTAGATAAATTAATGCTCTGCATTGAAACATGATGGTCAGGCCTCCTGTCAGGCTGTGAGCCTGTCACCCCCGGCCCCAAATCAAAAATAGTAGAGGGTTTATTTATGGTCTTGTGTGGGTTTAGTGTGTGATTTGGAGTGTGTTTGCCCCCTGTGCTGCCAGGGCTGCAGCAGTGCACTTAGCAGGGGCTTTAAATAGCTAACTAAAATAAAGTGAGAGGGAGGCCAGGGATCAGAGGCTGAGTGGGACTTTGTCAGAAAGGCATTCCCGAACGGAAGCCGGCATTTGGATGTCCAAACAGCATTTACAGAGAGAAATGTCAAGAATGTTATGTCCTGCAGCAGGATCAGTTGTAGTGAAAGGCACCAAGTGCCTCTGACAAGCAGCCTGACAGGAAGTGCAGACGGAAGTGCAAGCTGAGGACAAAATGGCGGCAGGTGAATCAGCAGAACAGAGTCCATCATTTCTTTCGTCTGCTTTTGGAAACATCTTCCTATTTCCTTGGTAAAATCTTAATTTTGTATCCTCACAATTACAAAGGAAGAAAAATTATCCTCTTCACGCTAACATGGCCTGCTTACTCTGAGTTCTGACTGTGAGAATGTTTGCTTTAATGGTGAGGTCATCCTTTATCACCCCCACCCCTCCCACACACAGACATAGACACACACACACACAATGTCCTTCTCCAGCTGGACAGCACCATAGCCATGTAGCCTCCATCCCTGCCCTACTTTAAACTACATACTTGTGTCCACAGAGGCCAGGATTCTAAATAGAAATGCAATCAATTGTACATTCTGTTTATTGGGTTTCTTTCAACTTCATGAAAACACTACTTGATTCGAAATAACCCCCTTTAAAAACAGTGTAATCAAACTTTATTGGCAGATAGAGGGGGTCCCCTGAGGATGTCCGGTTGGCAGCATACCATCCCAGTGTATGCCGCCAAATGTGAAGTGGCTGTACTGCAAATCAGAACCTCCAAATCCCAGGCCATGGTTCTTGCTCACGAGTGATGGAAGGAAGTATGGCATTAACACTGATGAAGCGTCGGCAGTGGTGCATATTGTAGTGCTGATGTGAAGAAGAGGGAGCTGAGTCAAAAGGAAAAGCTCTGGATTCACTGTTTAATCCGTGTTTTATCTGAACCTGTCATTATCTTTAAGTAACGACTGAAATGATAATATCACAGAGGCAAGCAGTCAAAATGAGTGTCCTCTGCAGGGTGGCTGGGCATTAAGCAACAGGGAGATGTGTACTGTATGTATTAAAATATCAAATGGCTAAATTAAGAAAGACAAAGTAACATTCACTGTAAGTAAATAAGTCATCTTTATCTATATAGCGCCTTTCACAAACCAGAGTCACAGAGAGCTTTACAATTGTGGGCATTTGTCTCTCACTCCTCACCCAGAGATGGGAGCGGGGCCAGTACAGGAGGCACATGCCGGACCTGTTGTACATGTTTTTAGTGGTAGGGGAAACTGGAGCACCCGGAGGAAACCTACTCAGACACAGGGAGAACAAGCAAACTCCACTCAGAAAGACCCAGTTCCGACTGGGATTCGAACCCATGGACCTTCTTACTGAGAAGGTAGCTAAGTGCTAACCACCCAGCCACCATGCCACCCACTTGTAATGTGCTATCATGAACTTGTTGGTTTGAAAAGGCAACAAACTGGTACATGATACGAATACTGTTAAAGGCGGTGTTTGGAACTCTGTGTTTGGGAAGTTACTTTGAAAGATTCTTATTTTTCACCCGAAAATGTTGCTACTTGTTTGCATTATTTTGAGGTGGCATGACTTTATTTATGACACAAATGAACAGGATTGTTTTTTCATGGGACCAACTGATATCTGTGTTTGAGTTGTTTACTCATTGGATGGAGTGAATACTAGCACTAGCACATGAAGAACCTTGGGCGCACGGGAAGGCACCCAAACATTTGTAGTATGTATCATTGTTTTATGCTGAGTAAAAAAATAGTATATTTTTTACAGTAAAAAACAATTCATTTATAACTTATAGCCCACACTTTAATCAATAATGTACACGAATGAAATGTTTCACTGCAAATGAAGGAGAACATGTATTTAAGTATAGCACATTTATTAGTAATGTACATATTAATACACAAAAAATATATAGCATAACATAGGGAAGACTTTTAAGAACGTTAAATACACCACAAAGGACATTTCATAAACAAGAAATCCACCCTTTGTCTTGGAGAAGCATTTTCAAAATGACTCGCCAATAAAATCTTTGGAATTATACTGTCCTTCTCAAATATATTTAGAATACAATTAAAAAGGGAAATATATATATATATGTAACGATACACAAAATATACAGTTCAAAATAAGTATCTTACATGCATGTATTTTCATATCTCTCCAAAAATAGTCTCGACTCTTAGACTCTACGTTGGACTTATTTATGACAGTCTTGGCACTCTCTAGTGGCAGAATCCCGCAGTGCAGTCAGTAGAAAGTTTGATGTTGCAGGATGCATGTGGTAATCAAGTGCTGGAGTGTGCAGGTCTTATTCGATGAGATTCATTCGTTGGTTCTTTACTTTTTGTGTGACCCAATCATGACTTTTGAAACAAAGTTGACAATGGCGCTCGCCGGCTGCTCGGGGTCATGCTCAGCAAACAGGTGGCACATGTTTTCTGTCTCACTCTGGGACTTTCTGGCTACAAATCCAAAAATCCTGCAGAAAGTATAATACAAAAAATAATAAATTAAAGCTTAATAATTCCATGTGTGAGAAAACAGACATTGATAGAAGCAAATATAAAACAACAAAATGCATTGAATACATTTATGTAATGTTCTGGTTATTGCAGATTGTTGTTGATGTTACTGTATGTGGCACTATCAGTATTGGCAGGTTGGTGGTTTGATTCATTCCAAACCTTTGAGGAACCATTTCAATGTAATCTTCAGGTGTGTCCTTTAGCTAGTTAGGAAGTTAACAAAGTTATAGGCGGATTTGTATGAAACATAGGTGAGAAGGAACACATTGATTAATTATAGAAATTACCCCGATCACCGTCTAAATCCAGGATTTAAAAAAAGTGTTTTTCTAGTTTTGTATTGTGATATTTTTTTATTTGGCTGTGTTTGAGTCATAGACTGTAAATACTAATGGAGGTAGTGACGCCTATTTCCTCTGTTAAAATATATGTGTGACCAACATGTACAATTTCAAAATGGCTGCGAGCAGCCCCTCCCACATTGCTCATGTGTTAGCCAGTACGAGCCTGATACATGCCATTCATTTAATGAGTGCATTCAAAAGTCCACAGCGGCTAAATGAGGCTGGTCCAAAAAAAAAAAAGAAACCCTCAGCATTGACAGCATCTGGAACATAGCTTTGGGCCAAGAGCGACTGTTGAAGCAGGCAGTAAATCAATTTTCGGGAGTAAAGAAGGCGCCATAAGAAATTATTGGATAATTCTGTTTCCGGATACACCCCCATCGGCAAGGAATCAGATTACAAGCATGGGGACCGCCCCCACTGATTTAAGTTTAAAAGTAAAATGAAGATCTACAAAAAAATGTATGGTGTCAGAAAATAAACCTAAGGAGTATAACTTGTGTAAAAATGTAAATGTAACTGATAGTACTAGATTACAAGACTTACTTTGCTGTAGATCCATTGTCTCGTTTCTTCCATCTATTGAACAAAGATAAATCATATTTAAAATGTTGCCTTTTCTAACCTGTGAGTATATGGCCATAGCCTGGTCTTATCCATCTGTAAACTTCGGTCTATGATCATTTCCTACATTTACGTCTGGGTCTGATCCTAGTGGCTGCAGTTTCCTCGTTGAATCCCCTCCGACCAATCAGAGAGCGGAGGAGGCGGGTGTTGTTGGGAGGCATCAGTGACGTCAAGAGTTTGCGCCAAATTTTGCTGGTTGTAGTTTAGCGATGGCGGTGAATGCGATAGTAAAGTCTGTTCTGGTTTGGCTCCAAATATCAAGAAATTGAAGCTGGAGCAAGAGGAATGTTTAGCAAATGTCATTGCTGCAAAGATGTTGTGGCTCTAATCATCCCGGGCTCCGTTAGCAGCAAAAGAGATGGCTAAAGCTAGGCTAAATGCTAAAGCTAGGCTAAATGCTAAAGGCCTCACTCACTCAGGCACATTTCATCCTTCACGACAAACTCAGATCCAATTGGTTCAATCTGCAAAAGGAGTTCACCCCTCCCACCTGTTAACAGGACACAGGCTAATATGGCCTCGTTGTTGTTCCATATTCAGTGCCTCAAAGGTTCAAGTGTAAATCCCATTAACCTTTCCATATTTCTTGTGTACACTCTATATTTGCTCATTTCTCTGGTCCTTCCGGTTCTGCGCAGTGGACGAGATCCCATGATGCTTTGCACCAAATACGCGTGTGAGTCTCTCGTTGACGTGCACAGAGGGACACAGCACGTCCTGACCAATACACTCTAAAGTGTGGATTTATAGATTACCGAAGGTTTTAAGGAGAAAAAAAGTTCAGGTCGACAAGAGACTCTAAAATCCCAACAAAATCCTCCTTTATGAAATCCTCCTTTATGAAAGCTGTCAGCTGTTTTAATTTACATTGAGATCTATGGGGAAAATTTCTGGGTAGCCCACGTGAATTTAATCTAGTTTAGTTTGCAGTACCGCGGGAATCCCCGAGCACGTGGGTCCTTCAGCTCCAAGCTATCCAGTTATTATAATAGATCCGTGGTCTATACCCACTGTCAAAAGAAAGTGACCATAGTTTTAAATCATTACAAGAAAGACCCTGGAGAAAAGCATTGATCCTTTGATGTTGGCTCTTTCGATCATTGTGAAGCAGCCACTAATAGGGAACGTGAGCTGGGTTTAGATTGTCGTGAGACAGGTTAGTTTTACCCTACTGATGATGTGTTGCCGCAATAGTAATCCTGACCCACCACCTCAGCTGTATCACAGGGCAGCGCAAAAAATAAGTGTCAAAGCTATTCTTGTGTTCAATGTTTTGTTTTTGTTTGTGTGAGGCCAGATCACTCACTTTCTTCCCTGTGGATCCAGCGAGCAGAAAATGACTGTATTAACAGCATAATGTCTCCTGAAGAACAACCTGTAACACAAGACACAGTGCTCAGATCTTGTACAACAACAAGGTTCTTTTGCTTGAAAAACATAACGAAGGGGTAGGACATGTGATTATTTCTTGACTCACTTCCTCTGGTTGTCTGTGAGCGTGATTCCTTGAGCTGACACTTTAAAGTGCACCACAGTGGAGGGAGGAGAAGGATCCTTGGCCAAAGTCACAGTTGTGGCCTTCTGAACTGCCTGAAGACCGGTTAAGGATTCCAGCTCTACTGAGCCCAGGAACCACACATTACATGCTGCGCAGGAGATACACAAATGTTACAATCGGAAGTAAATAAAGAAAATATAAAGTGTTTTTACCTGCTCCTTGCTTAAGAAGTTCCGCTGCTGAATTTGTAGCTGTTTGTGGAGTTGAATCATTCAGATCTTCCATTGGGTCTGAAAAAGTACATCAAATTATAGTAAAACAAAAATAAAGCAGGAAAAAAAAATAACTAATAGAGTAATGTACCTCTGTCTGGCAGGATGAGTTTGCATGGCAGAGCCAGAGGGGTGATGGAGTGCTGGCATACAAGAGCTGTGAGGCTTCCTGTCACAAAACAGAGAGTTGTATTTCAGTCAGTACACCAGTAGGTGTCGGCAGAGGTTTTTCAGGGTTGAGTGTGTGCTGATGGACTAGCAGCGTGAACTGCTGAGGTCTGCACTTCCAAATGGCACGGCAAGGCAATTTTATTTAGAATAGTTCATACACAAGACGTATCCGAGAGCTCAACAAAAAAAAGAAAAGAAACAAATCACAAATAATCACATTGCAACAAAAATAGTGAAGAAATGCAGACCTCGGACCTGGGCCATATGATTGTTTCTTCTAGACTCGAGACTCAAAACAACTAAGGGCAGTGTTAGCAAACTTCTCTAGTCCTTGTAAAAGGATCTTGTGGTTGACAGTGTCAGAAGCAGCACTCAGATCTAATGGGATTGAGAAAAAATTAAGAAAAAAGGAAAGCATGGGAAGAGCAGTAAGGAAAGGGGTAAGGACTGCACACTCCAGGTCTGTTATACCATGGGCCGCACACTCCAGGTCTGTTATACCATGGGCCGCACACTCCAGGTCTGTTATACCATGGGCCGCACACTCCAGGTCTGTTATACCATGGGCCGCACACTCCAGGTCTGTTATACCATGGACCGCACACTCCAGGTCTGTTATACCATGGACCGCACACTCCAGGTCTGTTATACCATGGACCGCACACTCCAGGTCTGTTATACCATGGACCGCACACTCCAGGTCTGTTATACCATGGGCCGCACACTCCAGGTCTGTTATACCATGGACCGCACACTCCAGGTCTGTTATACCATGGGCCGCACACTCCAGGTCTGTTATACCATGGGCCGCACAAGAAGCCCTGCTTTACTGCACAGCAGGACACTCACCAAAGTAGGGCTCGTTTGGACATCCTTTGAGACGGACTCCTTTCTGCGTGCACTCGATCAGAAAGTGTCGGACGAGCTCATTGGACATGTCTCCAACTGTGAAAGACCAAACACACAATGTTAAATAATATACATAAAGAGTGTAATGACATTTTTTGTGAGATCTGCCCAGTGGCTTTGCAAACATCTGCATACCCTTTTTACTCTGCTGCATCACAGACGGAGGAGGTGTAGCCACCTTCATAGCCAAGCCATATGCCCCACGGAAGGAATGACTGTCTCTGACAATAAAAGAACCTGGTTCTTTGTCCTTTAGCACAGCAATAGCTGGTCAGGGTCAGCACCAGGGGAAACAAAGATAAGCTACAGTTACAAAAATATCAAATGTGGTATGTAGAAGAATGAAACTTTGCACAACTGTCTATTCTCAGTGTATTGTGGGATGTCGCCATCTATAGCCAATATTTACCTTGGTCTCTGGAAATGTCAGGCTTATACCAAAACTTGGATGTATCCTGAACAAATTTGACAGGATCTTGCTTATAACCATATTCTGCAAAACAACATAAATCCATGTTGGAATATGTGTTTTAGAATAGATTTTGTGATAATCTGGGCATACCAGGTCCAGGTGATGGGGCCCCTCCGAGACCCCTGAGTGGGTCAGGGCTCATAGAAGCTGAGAAGGGGATGCTGAGGCTGCTCCCGCTGTGAGGGCTGGAAAAACCACTTAAGGAAGAAGATCGTGATCCCAGGTCCCCCAACTCCCCGACCCTCCTCTTGTCCGGCAGCATGGGCGGCAGGCTTCCATCTCCAATCAGACCCAGTCCCTCCAAGCCCTCCATGGCCTCCAGCAGGCTGTGCTCAAGGCTGCCATTCCCCAACAGCGAGGAGAAGTCTGTGCTGTCCGTCTGCCTGCCACTCAGAAACTTGAGAGCACTACGGGGCGAGCTGTGGGCTTTGGGCGAGCTGAGAGACAGAGGAGGTGATGGCTGAGAGGGACGTGGGCTTTGGTTGTGCCAGGCTGGAGGAGGCGTGGGGCTGCAAAACGAGAACATATGTAATTTTGCCATAATATAACAGTTTCCCTCCTCATGTATCCACTCTGACTCAGGCCACTGTTCTTTACCAGTGATTAACTGTCGGTGTAGGGGATTAGGCAGACGTTTTGGTACAATACAGAAATGAAACTGTTATGTGCTGCTTTGATGACGTAGACTTCAATTTATATCAATATTGAGATTTTATCAATACTCAATGTGTGTCATTTCAGTTTCTTTGGAAGTCAAAAGTGCATATTGTGCACACATTTTTTGTTTGTTTTTAATTTAGGTCATTCTTAGGTAAAAACTTTAACATTCATAATAGATCTAGTCTATATATTTTGGGAGATAAGCACACACATTGATAAATGACCCGTAGAATTTGGGAGTTCTTAGTTAAAGCTGGAGTATAAAATTTACCTGGTCATACCACACCATTGTGCTCATTTTGTCGGGAATGAATAATTGACCAAAGGTTACGGATGGCTAAGGCCAGGCTAACAAAAATAGACATGCCATAGAATCCAGTCTCAGATGTTTCAATCATTATTTTCATCTTTAGGTCAACTTTTTCACTCAGCCAATCAGCTCTCAGTATGTAAAGGCAAGTTTCCTAATAGGTTACAGACAGCATGGGGTGGTCTGATTTGTTCACAGAATGTTACTTAAACAACTTTGGGGTAAAAATATATGAATGAAACAAAAAGAAATGAAGGTATGCTAGCTTGATTTAAAACCCAATCTTCTGAGTATAAAACTATGCTAACTATGCTCACATTCCCATTGCTGCCTTGTAATTAGACTCGATAAGAGGTTCTTTCTCATGTGCAACAACAACCCTATATTCTGTGGCATCAGCTCGTGTTTCGGTGCATACCTGTCTGCGTGTGGGAGGGGGCTGTTGGAGGACATTGAGTACATGGAGCCAAAAATCCTCTGACAGGGAGCAGGGGTGACGTCTCCTTCTGTCGAACTCCCGCCATGGTTCATACTGTCCAGGAAACTCCGGGAATCTGACCGAGCGGAACAGACACACTTAGTTTTGACTCTGCACACTCATATACAGGTATGAACATCCACCAGGTGTAGGGCAAATTCCCAGGATATGACTCGCTCTGTTCCATAAACTATAATAACGGCCTGCATACCGGCTCCTTGTTTGTTTTCGTTGGTGCCATTTTCTATTTGAACAAAACACACCTGTCCTGTCAAACATACAGTATAACCATGTCTTTATTTGAAAGTATAATTCAATTTCAATATTATGCTATGTACCGTAAAAAAAATCCATGTACAGCTCAGTAGTATAACTAGTTGTTCAGTGATGTATTTTTGGTCTCATTTAATAAATTATAACTTTTTTAACAGAAATGTGAAAAAGAGAGGACTACCCTTATGCTGCCAATCAGAAAAAATACTGTTAACTAGTGACACAAGTATGCAAAAGATCACATTAGAGAGAAAATAACAGGAACATTTTATAAACAACATGTGTATAAGAGAAAAACAGCAAGGTACCCCAGCTTTAATAATTATAATGCCGACCACTTATATAGACGCTTCACATGGTATTAAAATGTTTCTCTCCATACTCGGTGGTGGTAAACTACTAGTGTTGCCACAACTGCCCTGGGGCTGACTTAATATATATATATTTTTTTTAAGCAGTAGCTTTATTTTGTAATAGAACTCCAGAGAGAAGGTCCAAAACTGTAAATAAAAAGACACCGACCTTTCACTAGTAGCTTTCACTTACAGTAGCTGCAAGAATTACATGCAGCTACTGTAATTTACTGTATATTATGTAGATTTTGGTGCAGTTTGACCAAAAATCTGACAAAAATTTGCCTCTAACAGCTTTGGGTTTTCATACAAGTTACTGCTACAGTAGATGAGTATGAACAAAATGAATTGGCCTTTAAAACAGGAAGTTGATCAATATCAATTTTCATTTGAGCCCTTTACAACACTCAAGGCGACCAAAGTGTTTTACAATAAAATCACATAAAATCCATTAAAACATCCATGCAATCAAAAAAATTGTGAGGACTTTCAGATCAGGGGTCAGCTTATAGAGTCTGGGTCCAGGACTGAGAAGGACCGGTCTCCCCAGTGTTTTCACCTGGTCCTGGGTTCTTCCAGGAGGAGCTGAGTGGGGGACCTTAATGATCTGCCTGAGTCAAAAACTGTTTGGACCAGTACAAAGAGACGAGACCATTGAGGGCTTTAAAAACAAAGATTAGCATTTTTAAATCAACTCGAAACAAAAACTCACAGCCAATATAGTGGAAAAAAGAACTGGGTGCGTTTTAGCATCCTGAAGAAGGCCAAGCTGGGCCGAAACGCGTTGGTGCGTATTTTACATTACAGAAAATAAAGGCTTTGTAACTCTCTAAACCATTGACCACGAGTACCTTGGATTTTTGGACTTTCTAAGCTCTTCATAACTTGCCTTATGCCTTGACTTAACTAGAAAGTCACAGCTCCTTTTTTTGTTACAAAGGACTGGGTGGACTTGATGTATGCCACCTCTACATGTGAGTGGATTATGGGGTAGCGCTGAATGCCCAAACACACCGACATGACATCCTGACATTCTGATAACAGAGTGTGTCATTCAGCAAACATGAGCTCCGGCTTGTGAATTCGCTCTGACTCACTCCTTTTATAAAGAGCTCCTTGTTCTGGCCCCCTCTGTCTGCCTCTCCTACACTTCCAACTATTCAAGAACACAGGGATGGAGGAACGCAGCTTTCTCTACTGATACGATGGTTAAGGAAAAAGCACTAATGAGTGGTCCTCAACAGGTCAGATTCAGATTCAGATTTTCCATTTGCAGTAAAAGCACATTGGAATACTTTTGCAAGAGTCCCCAGTGTGCACGAGACAAGTACGTGAATAAACGAGGTTAAATGTACAGAAGTAAAACTCAGTAAAAGTGCAGGAAACAATTGTTGCTGTGAAATTGATCAAATGAAACAGTTTCAATAAGTGAAAGATCATCAAAGGTCTCTGTTTAAACTGATAACAGCGTGTGGAAAGAAGCTGTTAGCAAGGTTGGCTTCATGTTGTAGAATTCTATATCTGTTGGAGGGTCGGTGACAATAAAAGTCTATGCTATAAGCAATTTTGAAAGAAGTATTGAAGAAAATAAAGAGCCAAAAGCTCTCCCAGATCAATATTTGCTAACAAAATGAGGACTGAAATGTGATAGAAAAGTCTGAATGTCATTTCTGCTGGCCAACATCCTACAGTTGTTTTCTGAGTTTTATCACCTCGTGATACAAATAATATATTATATATTTATGTGGAACTCTGAGACTATTTTTGTTTCATGTGGATTGCCCGGAATGACAGAAAAAGACTTCAAAACTAAACCTAGAGGTTTGATTATAAACAGTTAACTTAGTGACCAGGAAAAAAAATTCAGCTGTCCTTCACCACAATGTTAAACTATGGGCTCTTTGGAATGTTGGTAATGTTTATTTATATAGCGCCTTTCAGAGACAATCACAAAGATCCACACAATTGTTGTGGGCATTTTTCCTCTCATTCCACACACAGTGATGGAAGTGGGGTCGCCACACAGGCGGCACATGCCTGACCTATTGAACTTTTTTTTAGTGCTAGGGAAAACTGGAGCACCCAGAGGAAACCTACACAGACATAAGGAGCACATGCTAACTCCACACATGAACGCAATCTTTTGAGGTCTGGAAAGAAAGGATACTTCCTGGCTTCATGGTTTCTGGGCTGTCCTGTCTTGTTTAGATTTGGCTTATAGTCCTGGTGTTAAATCACAGTAAGTCTGGAGCCAGGGTTAGGAGAGGTTAAAAAGTTCATAAAAGTCCCAAGAGACTATTTATTATGCATTTGCTCACATGCAAAAGTGATTAGCATCCTTTAAAACTGTATCAAAGTGATGTAACACACACATGTCCTGGGCCATTGATAACTGGCCCCGGACATACTGTATCTTGGGCTATAAGTAACTTGCTTTCTGTTCTATATCTTGCTTCAAAAACACAAAAACAGCCAAATACTGAGTGATGTGTTCATCAACATGTACTGTCCCAATCAAATAAACAATAAACTAATAAACTAATGATTTATGTCTCCTGAGACTTTATGTGTATTCAACACAATGGCTTGAAAGAAAAGCCTTTGGAGTGTGTATAAGACGACACATTAAGCTCTGATTCTCCCATTGCTGGACTAATCCCACAGTCTCATCTACATTTGTTATGGCATATCATAATTCCATAAGTGTGAACTCTGAGACAGCTGTGGTAAGCTTTTGGTCAGTACCGTCATAAACCAAAGACATTCAATCAAACTGTACATATACACATACTGTATGCACAACTACCGTTTTCCTTAAGATAGGATAGGATAAGAGATTCTTTATTCGTCGCACAGTGCAGGACAGAGAAAACAGGAAGCACAAAAGATATACAAAATAAGTAGTACAAGTATGTTTCTTAGCTAGCTGTAAATGCTTCAATACTAATGTAGTGCGGAGTTATATACTGTACTATACATAAGGGGGCAGGATAATAAATAGATAAAGTAAAGTGACATTGTATATCTGCCTAATATCTGGCTGAAGTCGGATGGACAAAAGCTCTTGCTTGTAGATACTTTGGGGAATAATGATTAGGATAATTTTGGAGAAAAACCGCAAAACATCTCAACAAAAAATGCACTTGATCCCTATTTTCAGCTCATCAAGATATATTTTTGTAATATTGAATTGAAATGACTGCACATGTTGACACATTATAACTGAAGAGTTTTAGTTTCTGAGTTTGCACCAACAGAAAACTCTGTTAAAACTCAAGGAAACTCATTAAAGTTCAGCTTGTGAGTTCCAGAAGTAAACACAAACATAAACAGGAGCATCATGGGCCGTTCTGCGCAGGGGCCTCTTTTCCCACACTGTTGTCAGTCCTCTCCAGGGAGGATTCCCAGAAAGCAGCTCCATGTTCCCACGGCTGATTCCACTCTCTGCGGTCGCTCTCGTATCATCTCCATCCAGTGATTACGGTACAAGTGTCTTTGTAAATGAGTCCTTAGACTTTGCTATTTTATTTTTTATGTTTCTGTGTCTTGTGGTGTTCTTGTGTTGTCTCTTGTATGGACCCTGAGTCCGTAATAAAGATTATATATATATATATATAGATTTCACTTTGGCATGTAAGTAAGTATGTAGTTATCTCCTCCAGGTGGCACTACAGAGTTTATAGTAAGATATGCTTTTTCTGACATTGCTATGACTGTGATCCAATGATAAAATAATGTAGATGTTTATTTATGCATACTTTAGTCTATTCTCTACTTTTTCATTTGTTTTCACCGAGAGCCAAAGCAATTTCCTATAGTTTGAGACTTCTGGTTACTCACATGGCGATAACATAATTCTGATTCTGTTTGAGTAAAACACAGAAAAACTAAGGTGTTATTCCTGCGCTGCAAAAAGTGTAAGGGTAAAAGAAGAAAATTATGTTCTTCTCTAGATCTAGCAGACGATTTTGGCGCATGGAACGGTCGCAATGTTAGTTTATTCACATTTCCCGGCAAACTCAAACCGCCCGCCGCATCAGCTACCTTTCGAGCATGTCATTTGGTAAAATGCGTTTGTTTGGCCGAAAATGTAAGAACACAAGAAGAACTATCTCAAAAACAGAGAATGGAGGCATAATGTTAAGCAGATCAGTCTCGCCAAGCAAAATAGCTTGACAGTGGTAGGTCGAGGTGGGGTCAGTCCGGTGTTGCCATGGTGACGACGGCTCTGTAAGTCCAAGAGGGCAACATTTGCAAGAAGATTTGTCAGAAGAGAGGAGGTTCCACTTTGCCTCGCTTTGCCACATTAACTGTATCGGTACATACAAAGAAAAATATCCTGCATATTTGTGTGCATCTTCACTTTCAAGTTAGGAATGTGAATGTTCAAAAAACTTCAAGAGAAACTCGGAAAATTCTATCTACTTCTTCTCATTCAGCGTACAATGGG